TCTATAAACAAGTAATCATGGCAATAACATTTCCATAGTAATAAATAAACTATCAATTTACAATTTATAATGTCGATTTACAGGAATCGTACTTTTCGACAGGATGATTGTATAGATGGCGTTACTGTAGATTTTGGAGATATATCGGTCGCTACAAAATCTGTTGGCTCTAATTCAATATAATTAATTAATTATTTGAATAGTGAGAATAATGTTTGACGGAGAAGTTTCCTACAAGTTTATATTTTAATTTACTTCTTGCATTGTTACATACGTCGCTTGTAGGCGGATAAATTTAATTTTTTAATTACTTTAAGAAGTAATTAGTTCCCACGTTTCACCACAACGTAGCGCTAGTATTTGAATCGATGAATCGATCTAGTATTCATTTGCAAAAGACTACAATTACAAAGATTTATCTGTCAACATTTTCCATTGTGTATTTGAAATTGGATCTTCAGCATCCTTTTTGTAGTTTATTGGTATGTGTGAATAAAAATTTACAAATTCTATTCAATAGATCGAAGCATTTGATGAAACATATATTTTTGCAATTGTCACATTAGCGTTTATGATTACTGTGCTTTTGGAATATAAGGTTAGTTGATTTTTAAAAAACAAAATCATATTTTGAAGATCGGAAGACATTGAGAATATAATAGTTTAATTATAAAATCACCTAATTTGTTCCAATTAATTTCATACTTGGTTTGCGATATATTGTAAGTTATAAATCCTTTTCTCTGTATCTCATTTTCAGTTATATAAGAAGATCTAATTTTAATGTACTTACTGGGGATGACAGCGGCAAGCAAGTTAGGTGGTTCCTAAAACATTTCTAGAACGTGAAAATCATTGTATGTTGTTAAATCTAATCTATCTTCCAATGGTTACTGTAGAAGCTACAAGAAAGACGCAAGATTTACATGAGAATTTAATAAATGTTAAACAGAGCTAAAGAAGTTAGAAATTGACGAAAGTATGCAATTCAAAATCGTTTTACGTCATTTTTACGTTAAAGGGATCGTTAAACATAATAGAATTGTATTTGTATTTGAATTTTCCAGCCAGGAGCTGTTAACGTTCGATTCTGTTTATAATCGAATAATGGGTGCCCCGTATTACTCGAGAAAGTAAGTAAATTAACGTACATCATATGATGATAAAGATATAATATACATCGTGATATATTGCAACCAGAATCAAATTTATTTTTGACATGATATAAATGTATTTTCAATAGAGTCGTTGCAATTGGTAATAATATTAAATAATTATGTTTAATTATATAAAATATGTTACTTACGTCATTAATTGAATGTTATGTTATTGATTTTACTTTCTTCGTTTTTGAAGTATGTGTATTTATATAAAATAACTCGAGTAGAGAATGGAAGAGTTTATTTGTCATACATACACACATATATACATGTACATTATATATTTCACAATTTCACTTTTTTCAATTATATATTTCACAATTTTTGATTAACGTTTTACATATCACGTCAGAAACGATGAAAATTAGACAAGTATTCAAGTATTCAAGTACTCGCTGTTTAGAAAGGTGTAGCTATTAATATGAAAATAGGTATCGAAGAGAATTTCTAACATTTTGAAATATCTCTGGATTAGTTTCACATGATTAGATTGGCCTGTTGTTTCTAAATTTTACGATATTTACAGACGGTTTCTATAGATGTACTACCTAAAAAGAAAGAAATAACGCTATTATATCGATGAATTTTGATAGAAAATATGTACATAATAGATGTACATATGTGTGGAGTATTAAAAAAAGAAAAAAAAAGAAGTAATTGGTATTGATTTTTTTAAATAATGTATCGTGGAATGTAAAGCTATTGAAACTCAGACAAATGTGTAAAAATTACCTCGTAGAGAAGAGGAACAATTAAAATTATAGTCGATGTTGAACAGTAGTAATGCAAAATTTCTCAGATTTGGAATGTACAAACAGGAAAAGCAACAATTTCATTAAAGTCCTCTTTGATTGGTAGGTTTACTACTAAAGTACTAAGAATTTTTGGAGAAATTCGTAATCATAATTGCTGTGCGATATGTAAAACCTAACAAAACAATATCAAATCGTGTTATTCTTTAAAAAGTCGTTTTAGTCTCTTTAAAAATGTAATTGAAAACATACCATTCAGTCTAAGACATGTACCCTGTTAGTGTTAACATTAAATGAATTTTTACAAAATGATGATCAACCTTACTGAAACGAAAGTAAAATATGAAATTAGAATGAACATGGTGTAGTTTAGTAGTTTTCATTTAAAATTGATTGAAAAATAATCAGAATATCTAGGTAATGAGGTAATTCACTTGTTTTTGGAGAACCGCACTTGTAGCATTTATAACACTTACTTGACTAATTTGACAATGAACAATTGACAATGATTCCAATGTTTTTAATGTAGTAAAATCCATTTATTCAAATTATTTCGATATTTTCAACGTCTGATTATCATTAAGTTGGAAAATTTTAAGATGTTTAATCTCCAAGAGAAATTATCATATTACAAATTGTTAATTTCCAAGGTTAAGTTTGCGAAAGTGAGGGGTTCAATCTCTTGGATTCAATTCAATTCATTATCGACGAATAGATCAATCCAATGAAAGTAATACCAATTGGGAAACAATTGCGACTCTGACATTTTACAATGTATTGCCCTGATTCTTGATTCATTATGTTGTACCTTCAATGCCGTCGGATCAGGCGTGTGCGGTGATGAAGCGCGCTAATGAGGGCTCGGATTTCTTCGTCGGATTCAGCCGATTGACGTCTTGATATTCGATTATTCGGTGTACCACTGATCGAGCCAGAACTTTGCTTAGACGGCTGCGTTGGAAATGACGAGCGACGAATAAGAGGTGGTGGTCTCGCACCTACGATTCGATTTAGTGCCATTTATGTTAAACGATACGTTTATGTAGATTGATGGAGCTGATCTAATTATAGGGCTACCTAATAGGCGTAAAGCAGATCGATGCATTTCGAACGATCTCGCACTCTTCATTGGGTACCTCGGTAAGAACCTCCTCTGAACGGAAAAGTCGATTGTAGATGTTTTTCTTGAGCTGATACTACCTGCCTTAGACGAGTTCTTATGCGTTTTTTTTTTTTAAAACACACACACACACACATACATACGCGCGCGCCCACACACACACACACACACACATATATGTGTATATGTATATGTATATATACAATATATAACATTACCGTGTTAGATGTACATACACGTTATATACATGTTTGTACACTCATGTCGTATTATTTTTCAGACATATACATACGTATAATACATATTTACATATATTGTATGTATATATGTGTGTATATATATATATATATATATATATATATTCACATGGATATATGTATGTATATATATTTATTTCTTTTTACTTATACATGTATTTGTGTATACTATATAATTTTACTTTTTTTTTTT